AGGCTTGGATAGGTCTCCATTCTGAGCTGCAGCGGGCGAGGCGTTCTCTTCACACAAGACACAACGAGCGACTCTGACACGCTGTCAACGCTAAAGAACTTATATACTGCGCTTGTTTTCAGTTTTTTGCTGACACATAGTCAATAGAGTAGGTTGCACCTGCAACCCCCCACCTATTTAAACTTCGATGCTATGTCATCATTTTTTCCAGTCTGGTTTTACATACTTCGGCGGTGGAGGTGCCGGCTTACTAAGCACTTTCTTTAGTCGACCAGCACATAAAAACGTTGCTAATATTCGGTCGTTTCGGCTCAGGCCTACTTGTTCCAATAAAGTTGGTCGTTTCTTCTTTTGCATTTCTAAAAGAATATTCGCTTAATCACATCCAACTCGAGCGGGATTCGAACCTGCCACCTTCGTACTCCGAAGCAGAGATTTAAAGCATGCGGCTAAGCGAATATCCTCTGTCATACCCATCCGACAGTCCCTATTTATATGTATCGGAACTCAAACATACCCCCTCTCCTCTTTTTCCAAAATTCATGCAGCCTCTGCTGATGTTGAAACAGATCCGCGCTCCCACCTGCTGCGATGGTCACCGCGATGGCCACCGCCACGCCCGCGATGGTCGCTGAAAGATGCTGACCGTGCATCTGCCCTCGCGTCGCGAGGCACCGACCGCTGATGTGTCATATGCATCACCCTCCCGAGATGGCCGCTGAATAATGCTGACCGCGCTGTGCCGAGCGCCGGCCGACCGCTGACAAGACGGCGCATGACATCCAGAACCGTAGGGGGCGTTCTTTATGTGTCATGTTGGCCGCACGGTCTAAGGCGTCGAGTTTTGGATCGCCGGAGCATGGGTTCGAATCGCACCCCACTCTTGCCACTTTATTTGACCTTTCAACTGACCTGGCCCTCCCCTTCCCCCTCCCTTCACCCCCAACGATGGTGTCGAATGGGTTGCCTACCCACATGGAGCACCACTCCACTAGCTCCGCCTGCTCCACTGCACTCGGACCCCCATTTATTACTCTCTCGGGGTCTGTGCGATAAATATTGAAGCGGCTAGATGTCTCAACGTGCGGCAAGGCGGCAGCGGTGAGGAGCTTCCTGTCCCCTTACTAGTGTCTTGGTTTCCCGCCTGCCGTTTGATTGTGTCGCCCGGCACTCACATGTCAGACCCTTCCATTCGCATTTTTGCTATGACGCAGGAAAACGTTGTGCTCTCGCTATTCGGTGCTCGATAGCCCTTACGCCCGGCCACGTTTCCGCGCAGGCGGCGTTAATATATCATCAACGGT